TCGTAATCTAAAAACGTAGCTGATGCATGGTTCGATAACTCGGTTTCTAGGTTTTGGTGCGCTAGATCCATTTATCAGATAAGTTATAACCGCATTACAAATTATTCAATGCAAAAGTATATCTATCTGTTTTATTTTAATATCATAAAAATTAAGCTTTTTTATTCCGTAATATAATTTCTGAAGATGAAAAATTAATTTTACTGTCTCATTTTGAATTTCAATGAATAAAAATTATACAATTTTTATTTCCTATCTTTAAATTCTACTGAAAAAAAATTTGCGATCTAATAACATTTTTATTATGCTATAACATGAAATCTTACAACTCAAATTTCATTCATTTCTAATTAAGATAGAAAGAAGAAACTTTGTTAAAATGCATTGACTTGGGAATATCTTCAAGTCCCAGCATTAAGTCTGATAACATTGCATTTTAATGAGTTTTAGGAGGTGGCTCCATCTCCGTCATTCCCCCCATTCGGAAACCCAATAAACATAATCAAGTGTTGTAAATGCATTGTATGAAGTATATGGTGGGGGTGTGAGCATCCCCTTCATCTCCACCGTGAATTTCAAAAAATTGACCAATTAAAGCTTTTTAAATTTTTTAAAAATATAATAAAATCTTTCCTCAATTCAAATGTGTTTCATTTTGATATTTCAAATTTGAACATAATGGGATTATTACCCGATTCTCTGAAGGATCCAGGTTTAATCTTACTCGAGTCCTCAAATTTTCGTGAGTAGTTTGACTTAGCTAAATTGGACACTGACTTACTCTTAGATATATTGGAAACATTTTTACTCTCTGTGAGACAGAGCTAAGTGAAGTCAAACCTTGATATAATATCACCTTCGTAAAGCACCGAAGAATACGTCTTACGAACGGATCTTTCTCGTAAATATTAAATGGAGAGCTCCTTCATGTACAGTAAGTCAATTACTAAATGTACGAATTTTCATTGTTTTATCATCTTATAGCTTGACTTTAATTAAAAATTCAAACTTGTTTGAGACCTCATTACTACAATATATACGGTATATAATTCTTATTGTTTAACGTGCTTCAGTTTAATATTATACTCGACTTATTGCCAATTTCATAGACGAACAAATGATAGTACTAAATCGAAGTATGACTAATATTAAGGCTTAATTTTTATTTCGCTTCTCTTTACTTATAACATGTGTATTATAGGAACCTGTATACATAAAATCTTATAATAGTTAAGTTTATATCAAATATAGGCTATTATTATAAAATTAGTTTTCTATTTAATAATTTATTTGAAAATATATAATTTAAAAAAATCATTATTATAAATCTGTGGCTTGGAAGAATAAGGGCCTTGAAAGAATGTCATGGGCATACCTTTGACATTGACCCTAATTCTTCCAAGCCACAGAAATATTATTATATTAGAAACTTATTCTAATTTAGTACTGCAAAACTATAAAGAATAGGTCCTAAATAGTTACAAAATTAATTATTTTAAGCAGTATCTTGATTAATTACATCGATAAATTTTCTAACAGATAATTTTAATTAAAAACAATTTATAATTAATATTATCGAATCTCTATCTTATCGGCTCTCCTCAAAATAGTTAACAATAAATCAAGCGGCCAAGGTCAATAAATCTAACCGAGATATATTGATTTTTAAATCATTATTCTAGTGTAACACATACTTTTCTAACCTCTAAACTAAATCGAACGGTAAAATTAAAATGTTATTGATATTTTAACAAAAATTGTTGAAGTAAAAGCTGATAGACGAAGCAATGCAAAGCAATAATGCAATAAATTTTGAGACATACCATAAAATAAAAATTGCTTTTTAATCTCATATAAGAATGCTCAAGGCGAAATTATTCCGTTTACTTTGAGCTGTCTAGTCTGAAAGGGTATTAAATAAGTCTCTATGGATGAAGTGTTTCATTAAGTGCTTTTATATATAGGTTGGCATGTTTCTTTAATATGGTTTTATACCCTTATCTGTAAAGCCGTAAATTATCTCAAATTACTTTAAAAGAATCTGCCACTCTGGGGGACCAGGAATCGAATCTGGGCGATCGAAATATTCCAGGAATTTGTCATGGGTTGGCTCTCTCGGATATCTCGGATCCCATCCCTCACCATCCAATGCTCTTATTTTGGACCTGATCGAACCCACGATGGGTATGGAAGAAAGGAACTCTTAGGTCTTACAGGGCAGATAAAATATAAAATAAAAATATTCATGGATACTTTTTAAACATATTTTCCGAATTTATTTTATATATATTCTAAATGCTAAACAAATGTAAAAACTGTAAGTAATAAAAACACATGCATTGGAAGCATTTTCGATTCAAAATTTTCCAAGAAATATCATAGTTGGAAAAATTACTCATAAATTCTAATTCTTCTCTAATGCAAAATTAAAACCACACGAAAGAATGATCAATTTCTGAATAGAAAAAAGAAAAAAAAATCGATCAAGACTGCAGTCGACCAAATATTTTAATTATGGAATATTAGTCTATATCATTATGTAAAAAATTAAACTATTACGGATATTCGAAAGTGTATTCTTATTATATACAGTAAGAAAATTTCAGTCAAATAACAATCATTTTTTGGGGGGTTTGTTTTTAAACCATAAGAGCAACTACTGGATGATCGAGCCTACCGTTCTGAAGGGCCCGGAATCAAATCTGGGCCAGAAATTTTTTATAGGCGGTCTATCCCTGATATATCGGATGCCGGCCCTCATCACCACGAGTGTACAAAACCACTGAATACTGTCATGGTTTCGCTCCTTAACGAAGGACTGGCAAGTAAAGTTTTCGTGTTTTCTTCACGTATCTAACCTCTAAATAGGAGCCAGTTTCCCATAGAAAGTATTTCCGGGAGGTATCCCTCTTGGCAGATCGTCTTATGTTGCATTAGACCCACATCTCTTCCATCTCATTCCTCCCCTTCATGGGTCTAGTCAAATTCACAATGAGTATGAAAAAAGGGCCTCTTAGTATGTCCACTGGACGGAAAAAGCCAACAAAAAATGAAGAAAAAATAAAAGCACAAAATTCATTAACAAAACATTAACACTTTACAACGTATCATTATTCGCTAGAGTTGTGCTAGATTTTACGTTTAAATACCGTTGATAACTATTTCGTAACACAGGATACATCCAACTTAAAATTTTAATGTCGTCACGCCATAATTCGTTTAAATTACCTTCATTAAATTTAATACGATGATTTTTCAGTATTTAATGTTTTGATTGATAATATTTTTAGACAATTATTCTAAAGGCACGCTTCATAGAAAACAATTAGGTTGATTGAATTCGACTTATTTTAGCTTATTTTATTTATTCTTAATATCCAATAATTATTATTTTTTTATAATCACGTATGTACATAAAATTTTCTGTCTTTTTATTATTTTGGAAGTTATAAATTAAAATTTATAGTAAGTTTATAGACTTTTATTGTAATGTTTAATGTAAATTCTAATGTTAGAAACATTAGAAGAAATTAAATTAAACTGTCATATTTCAAATATATTCCTCTAAAAATTATAATTTTAATGGTTTATGTATCTAAATTTTAGAAATTAAATTTATTTTAAAATTTGCAAAGAACTTTTTCGATTCTAGACTCAAAATTAGACTCCATTCTTCTAAAGCATAAAAGTATATAAATAATATTAAAAAAAATAAACATAAATAAAATTCCTCACCACTTATCATTAGAAGTTTTAGTGTAAATCACTTTCATGTGATTTTTTTTACATTAAAGACTAAATTTTCGGTCTTTCTGTGTTCAGAGAATGAGTCAAATGACCTGCTGAAAGCAGGAATATAACATACACACACATAAATAATATAAAGTGTGACAATAAATAAACAGTAGATTTAAAAATATAAGAGCGATTTTATAAAGTTATAGATTAACTTTTTTCGGATAGATGAGTGCTAATAATTATAGAATTAAAAAAATACAAACTACAGTATATATTTTATTTCTAATAAAAAAGAAAAGAAGAATAAAAACTATATCAGTTATATATTAATTTAGTTTATAATTGTTAAAATTTATAAATTATGAAAACTGAGAAAGAACTTTTTAATATATTAATTGAGACTTTAAATAGAGAACATTTAATAAAATTCATTTTAAGAAAATTATAATGTTACTATCATCAAAGTAAAGTTTTTTTTTATAATTAAATTTTAAATTTGAGCAATAGAATCATTATTTAAAATAAAAGTTATAACTTAATAAGTGCTTATTCATAAATATTTTTAAAATAAATCTTTAAGTAAAATTAGATAACACTTTTTTATACTAAAAATGCTTTTTTTTAAATGATATTTAGTTTAAAAAGTTTGAAGTCTCTATCTATAGTTTCTAAATGTATGTTTTGCTATTCATAAGTCTCGTAAATTCCTATCAATATTATGCTATAAACAGTCTAACTACAATATACAATTTTCTTTTTAAATTATAAAATAATTTCAGATTTTTGAAGAATAAAAAAAAAAAAGAAAATTGTGACTTTAGATTTCAACAGTTAAATTTTTGTGCTGATTAATGTTGATGTTAATTAATTTAAATTTCAATTAACACGTAAATTAATTACACTGTTAACGCGTTATGAATTAAAATATAGACATAATTTAAATTGTAATCTTACCTAAGCTAATTAGTATTAAATGACGTCACGGTAATTTATCCCATGGACAGGTAGAAATTTTTGAAGGGGGGATAAAAATTATCTGGATAAAAACCGACCTTACGAAACAAACACTAACGATTAAGTGATGGAGCGAAACCTCCACACATGATACATTCAATCCGATTGGACGAGTTCCAGCCAGTCACGTGGCATTGTTTTCTGGTGTTTTGCACTTTGGTCACCCAGGTAACGGGTAGAGGAGGAGTCGATAATGAAAGCAGTGAGAAAAAATGGGAAAGAAAAACTTCGATTTCATTTCTTGTTTTTTTTTTTTTATTGCATTACTGAGTATTGACCTGTTTTGTGCTGTTTATGAAATAAATATTTGAATTTTGAATAGGTATAATACTTAAAACACTAGATTGTGCGATAACAGTCACACGATTTAATGTTTTAAGTCTCTCAACTCTCAATAACCAATTATTTTGTATCTTAGTGAGATTTTATATGCCAGTTCTTATCGAAGTGACAAGTCTTGAAAGTCTCTACCTGTAAAGGAATGTTAACTTGCTTTACAAACTTGATAGAACTTCACGTGATTCTGACGTCACATATTGACAGTAAATCACGTGATATGATTGATAGAATGTCGATTTGTATTTATATTTTCAAATATATCATATTCCATCATGCTTCCTATTTTGCAATATGTCTTAGCTCTTTCATTAAATATACTAAAAATACGAATGATGCATCGAATTTTAATTTAGTTTACGTATATTTTGTACAAATCTAAATTTTTTCCATATTTATTTCGAGTCACTGAAGATGTTTTCTCTTCTATAAAAGTATCGAAAAAATAAGTTATAAACATAAAATAATGATGATTTAATTATTAAATAGGTAAACTTACCGCATCATTTCTAAATTATAATCACGTGAACGAGCTGCAGCATATGTCATTCTGTTAAATGAGAGTGGCATCGGGTCATCTTTCATCAGAACTTTGTCATGGGGAGATGTATTTTGAATTCCAGGAGGGGTCTCGTAATTATGCTCTTATTTCATAAATTATATGTTAATTAGTTGAGAAAATGGACTCGAAATATTATTAAAAGTTATATTTACCGTTACATCTACGAGTAGGCTGTCTTAACATCAGATTCTTATATTTAAAATCAGCACAATTAAAATAATTTGGAAATTCTTTTCTGTCAAATGAGATCGGTTGTTCGTGTTTACAATCAAGGCGAGACTTATGGCAAATTTCTAAAAACAAATTCAGAAATATTTTTAATATAAATTTTAGTACTTATTATTTAAATATTTTATTTTTTTAATTTGTTATAAAGGCAATTATTTTTTTACTCTTTTCTCTTTATGAATGTAGCGAGGTTTTTTTAAAAATACCCATCGTGGGGTCGGCCAAACTACGCAGGGAGCGATCGGGTGATAATTGACGATTTCCTGAACTAATTCCTATGAAAAATTTCTGGAATGGCTGGCAAAGATTCGATCCCGGACTCTCTAGAACGGCTGGCTGACCACTTAACGCAGTGGTTTTCAACCGGGGTACCAAGAAAAATAGTGATTAGCAGTGCCATTATACTTCTTACATGTATTATTAATATTACTAAAAATACGAAAAATGCAATAACTACATTGATAAAGAAGTAGGGATGCTACAAGAAAAAAATTACCAGGTAGGGGTGCCACAATCAGAAAAAAGTTGAAAAACATTGCCTTAACATCTTGGCCATCCGGCTGTCATCTTCTACAGTTGTTAAATTAATATACTAAATTCATTTTAAATATTTTTTTTTTAAATAAGGCTATTATGTGTATAAAAATTTTCATTACTATTAATTTGTTGTTATAAACGATAATTTTGAATTTAAATATTAATTTCAAAGTAGATATTATCACTGTTCTGCGATTATCAAGGCAATGAATAAATTTTCTATTTCTATTAATTTGTGTTGTTTCTTTGTCTCATAATTTTATTTACTGTAATTTTTTTATTCTGAATAGCTCTAAGAACAGAATGTTAAAAATACAGAATTTTAGCTTTACTACATTTTAAAAAATGGAGGCACTGTGTGTAGGGGGGACGATTTTGTTCACCCACTTTGAAGCTTAAAGATTTATTTTTTTGTCGAAAATTTCTGAAATTTTGCAGGAAGGTGTGTGTATTAGGAGGATTGATGCTATTAAATTTTGATGGTTAAAAATCAAGAGGATGGAGCGATAGAAGGGTCACGTGTCATATCGTAGGGTCGAACCTAATGAAGATTTTACTCGTTTTTAGCATTTACAATTATCTACTTATTTATAAACACATCCCATTTTATAATAATTAATTATATAATTGTTTTTAAAAAATAAAATATATTAACAGATTGCGCCACACACAATTTTAAATTCTTTTGCCAAGAAAGTTACACAACTCGTTGCTGAATTTTCTATGCGCGAAACTACTATTTTTATCTTTTAATTGTTAAATGCAATGATATTAACAAAATAAATGTTATATCGGTTGATAGTAATTAAAATACGTTTATTCAACGCTGTCTAGACATTTTTAACAGTTTAGATGCAACAAAATCTGGTATAGTAACATTTCAGGACATATCGAATATATTTCCGTAAAAAAAGTTCAAAAACTCGACACTATAGTATTTTTAGTGCTGATTTATCAATATTAATTTATATTATTCAATATTTGAACAGTTAAAGATAAAGACAAATGTTAAATCTTATAAGTTAATATTTGAAGTCCTCCTAAGAAGAACGTTAATTGTTTTGCAGCATTTTTTTGCTGCAAAACAATTAATGTCAATTAACTACTTTGTGATTGTTTTCCTGTTCCTAATGAGAATAACAATTTAAGTTACAAAAATTTTAAAAACGTTTGAAATTAACAAGTTGTATTATTTAAATCAATAATTTCATCATACGATTTAAAATCGTGTAATTGCGAGAACAGCCACTCTACAAAACATCATAATTTTATTTAATTTTAAATTAATATATGACTGTAATGATTAAAATAGTCATACTTTAGTAATTATTTCTCATTTTTATTTTTTTGAGACTTTTTTCCATAAGGTTTGGTCAGGCCTACAATGGAATCCCAGCCAAATGACGGGAAGGGATTCCATATATCCGGGACAGACCATCCATGAAAAATTTCTGGGGTTGTTGGCACGGAATATCCCAGCTCCACCAGAGCGGTAAAGTGTTGCCTTAGCTGTCTCGGCCATTGAGATTTTTCTTGAAAGCACTAAGAATATTTCTTTTTCAAACCGTTTGTGGGTTTGATCGGGTCTACAAGGATAGACAGATAAGGAGAGATTAAGCCCGATAACCACTCCTAAAAACCTGAGGTTCCTGCCAGAACCTCAATCCTAGAGCGAGAGAGAGGAATTGACCTTTTTTTTTAATCAATTTGGCCATTTAGCTTTCATCAATTAGTAAGTTATAAATAAATTTTACACCAATAAAATATAATAAAATAAAACAATTAATTTATGAAGAAATGAAATTACTTAATTAAATAAAAATATTTGAACAATGTCATCGTTAGTGACTTTTTCTACTCTAATATCCTCTATATTGGCAGTCTCACTCAGAGTCAATCCAGACACATTTCTAATAAAGAAATCAGATTAGTGTCTTTACTATAATTTGCTTCCTTCTTCTGCTTCTTCCCATTTATCTCTAGTTTTATGGTTCAATAAGCTTTTCCACGATCTACCAGTTATGAGATCTCATCCCATCCTTCGAAAATTCATCTTACATGTCCTCGACTTAAGATCGGACGGTTCACATGAATAGAGATAACTGTAGATAAATGCAGACAAATATGGCAAGAACTGTATTACTCTATGTCTAACGCGTAATAATACACAACTTCTAGGATTTTACAAATCAAAGCAATAAACGTAAGTCTTTGGTGAAAAAAATAAATACAGCAGTTGGACGTAAGTGGAGAATGGAAAATGCTTAACAATAACTAGACAGAGAGACTTACGTTCGTCCTTAAGTTTTGGACACGTGTGTACAACATCTACTATTTTAAGTTTGTGTATTCAATCTTCATTATTATGAATTATGTTATTAGAAATATGAGCCGGCGTCGGTATTTTTTCTTCAGGAGCTCGTCTAAGACATCTTGGTCCATAAGCTGACATAAGGATGCCACGTTTGGTAGAAGGATAAGCGCCTTTATGTCACCATTCTCTAATTCTCCATTAGCCCGGTGAGAAGAGACATTATCAGGAATGAGAATTGTCATTCTAGGCAAGTTCTTATCCTTCAGACATTTTTTCGTGGAGGTGACAAACTATTTAACTATTAACAAAAAATATCACTGTCTATCCATGCCGTTTTACACATTATTATTTAATAATACTGTATTGCAAGTCTACTGTATCCCCAGTTCTATTATAATTTAAATCCAAAAATTCATTCGTAAACAAAAATTCTCGTGATAATTTATAAAATACTTAAAGAAGAGGTTATCCGAATTTATAATACTTGCATCTCTTGGACTTACATCCGAATTTATAACACTAAATCGCTAATTTTTGCTATATTCCTACATTAAAAATGATTAGTCTGTTAATAAAATCTAAACTTCACATTTTCGTGTGAGTTTAAACAATTTTAAAAAAAAATAATAATAAATATAGATCCACTATTGCTAAGCAGTTTAAGAGCAAATCTCGAAAGCGATCGTCCTTATTACCAACGTCTGCATTCGCCACAGCTGCTTAGATTGTTGAGCAGATATAAACATGATTACCAGTCAAATCTAATGTGTAATAACATCTATAAGCCGAACTCTACGTGTACAAAGAACTTAATCGAATCTAAGTAAACCTCTAGGAATAATAGCCTACTATGTAACTTTATATGAAATTATCGCTTCAGTCTGACTAATACAAGCAGGAAAAGTTTCAACCTGACTGAACTGTCAACGTGTGATGGATAATGACCAAAATCTCCAAAAATTGAATTAAGGACAAAAGAAAAACATGGTTACTTACAACAGACAGGTTTACTCAACGAAGATGAAGTTGTTAGGAAAGTTAGGGGTGAAATGAATGAGGAAAGCAAATCAAACAAGCAGAAATAGTTGAGGAAGATCTTCGTTCAAAAATGAACCAGAAATGTCTGAAGAAGTATAATCTCATTTTAGATATTAAATTATATTTGATTTCTTAATATTTATCCTATACATTTTTCTATTAACTTTTTATACTTTTTGAATTATTAATTTTTGGATTTTTTTTTATTTTACTCTTTCCGCTCTGTAGACACTAAGAGGCCTTTATATCAAGCCTGTCGTGAGCCTAGCCGAACTCACGATGGGCGCAGTCAGATGGTGTGGAATAGGACCCGACGTATCCAGATCAGACCACTCATGAAAACTTTTTGAAAATTCTTCAAAAAACCTGGATTCGATCTCGGATTCCCTACAACAGTAGGATAACGCTTTAACCACCTCGGTTATCCGGCCGTCGTGATTTGGGATTATTTATGAGAGAATTATTCGGGTTACTTACAACTTACCACAAAATTTATAAAAATATCCAAGCATATACTGAAAAGATTTTATATAACTTAAGGTTGAACATTTTTATAAATCCTAATTTCAATGAAAAATTGGTTATTACTAAAAAAAATAACCAATATAAGAATAAAACAGAAAACTAGAAATACACGCTTTTATAACAAAAACATAATATAGGCATACTTTCACTTCCCTCTCATAACTCCTCAATTAATTAATTGCTTCAAATTAATCTCTTTGATACAGTTACAATGTATTTTTTAAACATAAATCATGACCAAATTCAAAAATAATTCCTTTTATAGTTTTCATAGAACCCACAAGTGGCTATTATTGTAGATACCATTGATCGTGGGTTCGTGTCGCATTACAAGACTGTATACGTGAAGTTTTCCGAGTTTTCTTTACGTGTCCTTAATAGCGATCAGAAAGACCCCCAGGAGGCATTCTCCCCTCTTGGCAGATTCTCCTATCAGTTGTTTTGCCATATCCCTTCAAACCAACCAAATCAAATAAACTTTTATTTTACTGCATAACATATTTGATTTTCTGACCTATTTACATATATTCAGCTAATTCTCTAAAGGTTAATCTAATATTTCATAATGATCATGATATCATTTATTATTCAGTAAAATAGATCTTTTTATGCATTTTTAATATTATTTATTATTATTTAATATAGGAATTT